ATTTTCAAAATCAGCCATAATTTTACCTCCATGTCAAATCTGTGTAACATGCATGCCTCCGTGTGTATTACACAATTGGCATCCAATCATGGAAGCTAGGCTCTGAGGGATATGGGTATTAAGAAGACTGATAAGTCTGTCATCCTTTAGCAAGTAAGGAGAAGCTACTATCAGTCCAGTTCAGCTATCTCAGAACTCTTCCATCCTGGCGACATCTCTTAAGGAGGTGCCATCTTTCTCACAGTGCCAACATGGGCCATGCAGGGCAATCACTTGGTATGGCTTCACCTTCTCCACCATTTAAGACTGGACACCTTCAGTGGCGAAGTTGTGCGGCAAAGTTTGTACTTAAAATTTCTCTCTCTTCATCTAATGCTGAAGCCACTAAGACAGGTGAGATATCTTCCTTCCAGAAAGCCACAGGCCATGTTTGGAATTTTAAAAGAAGACTGGTGTTGGCATTAAATTTTGCCTGTTGAAAAATTGTCTTCCACAATTTGAGTCTTGGTGGAGCTTCTGTCCAAACAGGCTCTACGTCTTCCAGGGCCCAGGGAGAAATGGGAGCTTTGTTTCAGAAAGGCTTCCTGCCCCCTCCCTCCCTTCCTCTGGGTTGTCTGTATTGTTTAGGTAAAGTATTGCCCAAGGGAGCCTGCTCCATCACCTATACACTATGCTGGCCAGGGGCACATTCACCTTGAAGCTAGTGGAGCTGGCAGTTCAGAGCCCTCACATATAAGAGGCACTGGCAAGGCCCTGGGAGAACAAAATGTGTTCACGTGGTCATATGTTTTAGAAAAATTTGCAAAAGAAAGATATTTAAATTGCAAGCAGCTAAGACTACTGTCTATTTCCAGCGTGTCTTCTCCATCACACTTCTCCCCGAGGACATTTTTGGAAGTAGCTAAATGGAAGTTGCAGTGGGGATTCACTTAGTTTGGGTTTAGTGAGGTGTATTTATGTGAACTGCAGTCACTTTTCTGTATGGTTATTGAGCTAATACATTTCCTGAGTAGAAGTATCCTCCAGGATGGAATTTTGGACAGAAGTAATGGGTAGACTCTAGGATTATTTGCTAATTCAATTAATGAAGAGGAATAAATCACTCACACGATTTATTGAACACATTGAAAAGGTTTTAATTTCCTTCCTATCTGACATAAAACATTGACATCGATGTAGAGAACAGGGAACTCATATTCTCCACTACAACAGGATGTATGATGCACTGGCTGGTGAACGTCATCAATTTAAAGAATATTTAGGATCAGTCACTGTGCAAGAAAACTAGAAATGACCTTAGATCCAATGTCCAGCTCATATATGAAAGAAACTTGAGAGATGTTTCCCCACATTTGATAACAATTCCAGAAAACCAAAAAGTGAAACATTGCCAATAAGAAGTTGTGAAGCAGAGAGTTTTCAGCTAGAAAGACTGACACTGAATTATCTCTCCAGTCCCTATGTAGAAAAGGCTCTTACAGTGTGGTTGTCTTAGGAGAAGTGGGTCAAAGAGCAGCCAAGACAACATGGGAAACACATAAATGTGTCAGGCTGTTAACTAATGAAGATATGTTTCTAAATTTTGTGATTTTTCTGGTATTTGTCAGATCTATCAAATTGCCATTTGTTGTAGTTTCTTTTCTCATTCTAAATCTTTATTTCCACACAAATTGTTATTCATAATTTTGTAATTTTTTCTTCTTCAAGAGAGCCCTCCAATTGTGTGATTTTTAGGCTCCAGAAAACTTGAATCCAGCCCTGCTGCCAGCCCCTCGGTTTGATGAGGGGAGTTTTGGATGTTCCTGGAGGGGCTGAGAGCAAGTACACACACTCATTGGCACACACATGTGCACCCTGCTCTACCTTGTCCCTTTACCCGGTCCCCACTATTCCCCAGGTGGCCCTGGGGTTGCTTCTTCTGGGGGTACAAGTCTCACTGCCCATAATTTCTTCTCTCTACTCGGTCATCTCCTGCGGGGCCCGTGGAGGATGGGGTGGGGAGCATGAGGCAGGTGCTGGGTGTGTGGGTGGGGGAGAGTGTAGGTGCTCTGATTGTGCACACAGCCCTGCCTGGCCCTGCGAACAGCTCAAGGAAGAGCCCAGCCAAGCAGGGGGGGTGTGTCTAAGCAGCAGTAATTCTCCTGAATCCTAATGGGACTCATATGGTTGATTTAATAAAGAGTGATTCATGGAACCACAGGTTGAGTACATTTATGGTGAATTTTACTGCTGAAACCCCAGAGCCAGAGCTCCCCTTCACTCTTCCTTTGTCTCCTTACTCCCCTCCCCTCTCCCGTCCCTCTTCCACTTGCAAGCCACTGTCCAGAGTCACTAGCTCAGATGGAAGAGGGGCTAGCCATGCCCCCTTCTCTACCACTTCTTTTGCTTTTCCTTGGGCACAGCCCAAGTGAGTCTTTTCAGGTTGACCAATGATACACTAAGCAATTTTTTTCTTACTTAAGGAGAGGACACATTTTTCCTAATGAGCACAAAGGCTCAGTCCTGGTTGTTCCTTCCGGAATGAAGTGGAACCTAGAGACAGCATCCATGGCTAATCTCCCCCAGGTAGCCTCTCTGGCTGCTATTGCCTCATCTGTAAAATGGGTTAGTGATAGTATCCCCCTCATTGATTGAATAGCCAGGAGTAGAGTTCTCTTCCTTCCCTAACTAGCAAGTTTGCAAGCCCATGCCAACCACCCCAGCCTAACCACTAGGGCCTGGCTGTCCACTCTCCCTGCCATTCTGAATTTTCCCCAAACGTGCTTCCTCCCTACTAGTGTCCGAGAGACCAAGAATTTCTCAGCGCTGTCTCTGAACAAGAATGACTTCAGACTTCACGGCAAAAACCTCCATGGCAAAGATAATAAGAAAAAGCAGCGGGGGTCTCCTTAAACTGGGGGTGTTATTTTGGTTCACATGAGATCCTTGTGGGCCTAAAAGTAACTCTAAAAGTCCACATTTGCCATGCAAAGAATAAAAAAGGATCTGAAAGAAGAAAAACAAACTTCTCTCCCACACAGCTCTTACGCTTTTCCCCTTCAGATCTAGTCTATTTTTTTTCAACAAAGAAAAAGATGTGAATGGTAATAGACAAACAAATAGTCACGTAAATAGATAATTTTGGGAAATAAATACTTGTGGAAATACCTGCTATTTCATTCTGAGATGTTTCAATTTACCTGATCAGCACTTTAACGTTATGAAGAATGCTATATAGGCAACATATTTTGAAATATTAGAAATGGCCAGTAATTGTCTCACTTGGTCTTAGTGTTCTCAGCTACAATATGAAGAGTTAGAACAAAATGATTTCCAAGGTCTTTTTTTCGGGCTAACATTCTATGATTTCATACTAAAGATGTTAACATTATTTTGATATTTAGTTAACTTTTCTTTTGTTTCGTATCTTTTAGGTGCCTTGCAATCAAGTCAACAGGCGTTGATTAAGCACTCACAGGACGCGTAACTCTTAAAAGCACTTTTCTGTAGGAAACAATTGTGTTCTTGAAATGTGAATGAAACGTATATTTTTAAAATGAATCAACTATTTTGTAAATACAATGAAGTTTTCTGCTTTCAAGAATCCCATGATGAAGCTTTGTAGAGCTTATTTATCTAGCATGTCAAGTTCAATTTTCTTAAAGACGGAAGTATGTTAATACTGGGTGCTGGAGCTGCACTGAATCTCATTTTCCAGACGATGCCACCGAGGCAAAGAGAGGTTCAGTGGGGTTGCTGAGAAGTCAGGGCAGCCCTGGGGCCAAGACAAGAACTCTGGAAACTCTAGGCTCACACTCTGACCCCAGCATCGCACAAGTCCTTCCCTGGTTAATTCTTTCTGAGAATTAACATGTTAACGTGCCCATGTGATGGGCATCCACTGAACACACTGAGCTCTGAGACACCATCACCCTCTAGGCAACATTTCACGAAAAACAGACAACCTTCTGGATGCTGTTGTCATATTGTGATGAGGCTCTGTCTGTTTGGCAATACAACGACACTCCAGATGTACATTTCCCTAAATTAAAACCATCTATTTACAGACATACAAAGGGAAAATAAACCTCACTCGGCTGCAGACTTCTTAGTAGCTACTCTCTCCTTTGATAGGACCCGGGCTCCCCTCTCTGTTTATGGCTGACAATAAGGCGCAGTTGGCGGAGTGGCTGCCTCCACAGTCCTGAGGAGCGTGAGGCGGAGGCCGTCCCAGAGCACACGGGACTTTTCCTTCTCCTTGTTCTTCCCTGTGCTTTGGCCCTTGCAGAGCACCCTATGAACAAGGAGCAGACCCCTTTTCCTCACATCACTTGCAATAGGGGCAAGTCTTCAGTATTACGAGAAGCCCGAACCCAACATTTCTTATCATCCCCCTCTGAGGTACTCTCCCATCTATCATTTCCACATCTGAAAATCCCAGGCTGGGGCCCTTGACACTATGTTTCTCTCAGGAAATATCTCTTCCCTTATATTTTCACTTCTTGGCCCCTTGAAAAGTGATAGAATTTGGCTCTGCGTTTCACTTCAGGAACGTGAGAGCGGTATAGCAGTTCTGCGTTTGAAGTGAAGTATTAGAGTTGAAGAGGTGGAAAGCATGCTGATGGTGGAGCCTAAATATTTAAAAAGAGTACTTGACAACGAGGTTCTTTCTATTAAATGCTAGGAATGACTTTTCTCGCCTTCATCCTTTTCTTTCACTGCTTTGGTATTATTTTTCAGTGTTTTCACACACACACACATGAGGGACTGGGGTAGGGCACATGTGGGAGGATGTTATGGGCCAGCCTGGAATTGGTGCACACATTTCCACATCCATCCTAATAAGAGGCTGAGGAATGTAGTCTAGTCACAAGCCCTGAGAGATCCAGCCAGGCTCTGCCCCAGGAAAAGTGCTGGAGCAAAGCTAGACAGCTCGCTAAGTGATATTTACTGCCGGCGACTGTGCCCACACTGGACCAGAGGCGGGAAATACGAGGTGAAGTGAAACTGACAGTTTAGATCACTTCCTCTCAGGGCGTGTAACACAGCATGGTGGGGAATTCCTGCTAGTGGTGTGAACAGAGCTGAGAGAGTAGCAAGCAGGGGAACGCCTGTCCTCTGGGCTTAGGGAAGGTTTCACAGCCTGGTTGCGTTGGAGTGAGTCTGCAAAGGGTGAGTGCAGTGTTGTGAGGAGGGTAAAGGGATGGCGAGGATGAGAGAAGGAAGCCGCTGAGCTGGGAAAGGAGTGGCAAGCGTCCAATGCAAATGGGGGGTAGGGTGGGGCCATAGAGCGCTTTACGAAGATTGTGGTGGAAATGGGCTGTTGAGCATAGATGGTGGGGAATTACCCAGGGAACATGTCTTTGCTGAAGGTTGAGGTTCAGGGGAGCGACATGATTGGATCCATGTCATAGGCAGCAGGTTGTGGTGGTGTGTGGAAGATGAAGGGAACGGGGGAAATAGTGAGAGGCAGGGAGCCAGGTGAGGAACCTGCTCCCACATCCTGGGCAAGACGTGTCAGAGCAGGTGTCCAGGAGGAGGTGGCTCAAGACTTCTCAAGGGGCTTGTTGGCCAATTGGATGTGGCGGGTGAGGGCCTTGGCCCTTTGATTCTCTCTCTATTTATGCTCTTAAAATTGATCATACCTTATTAGTTATTTCACTATTAATGAGTAAAAAAAGAAATGATTTTACATTTTTTGAAAACTATTGTCCCATTTTTACAGATGAATAAATCAAGGCACAGAGAAGTTACGGGACTTGGCCAAGGAGAGATACAGGTGGTGGAACAGAGATTCAAACTCAGGTAGTTTGGTTCCAGAAAAGTCTTCTTATTCACTCACCATGTATTTGTTGAACACTTTTCTCCATTCTTGACTTTTCTGAATTTCTCCTTCTACTGAATCCAAGGGCTTTTAATTTATGTAACAAATAGATACTGGGTTGCTACTGTGTGGCAGTTTCTGGATTAATTTACTTCTGGTAAATTGTATTAACGTTGTGTAGTACAAGCTTAAAAACAAGCTCTTGAAAATATGCCCATGCTCTGAAAAAAACCAGGCAAGGAATCTTCTGGGCATTCATTTGATTTGCCTTGTGCCTTCTGTCAGGATCTTCTGGTTGTCGATGCATGTGGGGAACCAAGTATACTTGCCACCAGTAGAGGGAGGAGCCAGAAGAGGTAAAAATCAGGCTTTTAGATGATGGAGTTAGAGTCTATGTAAATTGCAAAAGCTGGTTTCTTCCAGAACCTTGGGCCCGTGGAATTCATATTTGTAAAGCTGGGCATGCAAAATGATGTTATAGGAAGGTTCCCTTTGACCAAATCTGCATCATCCTTGCTCTGCTTCAAAATTACCTGATGTCTGCCATCTCATCTGAATGCTGGTCCTTTATGACAGAATATCTCCAAGCAATTATAATTGGTGATTTTCTTCTATTTCAGCTGTCAGCACGTTCTATTGTTGTTTTAACTGTGTCTCTGTCTTTAGATAATAAAAGCACAGAATGAAGGGACTGGGTATCTGTGGCCACATCTGTAATATGAGTTCTCTGTTCCCTGAGAACATTCAGCAAGTACTGGTGATAAATGTTCTGTACTTGGGGAAAACAGGTTCTTCCTACTATACTTTGAGGTATTTATCTCCATTTCATGGATGACAACTTCAACTTCCAAAGTCAGGAAATTCTCCTGGAGCACCAAGTGAAAGAAAGTGATGCTACAGGAGTGTTCCTCACCCAGCCTGTCCAACAATGATGATGCCTAATTTACCATTTAGCTTTGCAGCCTCTTACTCATCTAGTAGTTTCCCAAGTTGCCTTGGGTGATCCTTTCTATAGCTGGAGATGGAACTCCTATTAACAACTCCTAGGAACTCGTAGTAACAACTATTCAGCATCTTAATTTCTAGATTCCAATTTCCAGTGGGGTAAGTTGACTCTAACTTTTACCAACATATTTGGCCTCTAATACAGCAAAACTCTCAGAGAAAACTTTTCTATCCTCCCTTCCCCCTCAAAAGAATCAATAACACTTAAGGAAATGATAACATTATACTAGCTGCAATTATTATGAACTTTCACATCTTCTGATTTAAGCTAAAATTCCTCAAAATGTTAAATGACTAAAATGCTAGTGAGTATCTGGCCTCATTCCTCATTCTTGGTGCATCCATCTCTGAGTCTCACTTGTTCCAACCCAAGGTGCCCGCTGAATTTGGGTTTCCTCCAAATGATTTGATATCGTGGCTGGGTGAGTTACTCTTCAGCTTGAGTCAGGGGGGAAGAATATTAACACAGGCCACCTGGTAGATTGCCCCTTGGCAAACTCTGACTGCAGTGGACCAAATGGTATACTAGTGATATAAAAGTGTCATGGCACTTCTGTGGTGCGTGATGGAAACTGAGGGGTCATTCCTTCTCATCCTATAACTGGCCCCCATAGAAACACAATCATATTAATTCTGGAGAAGAACAAGGAGTGCCAGACTGTCCTCCACTGGGAAAGTGCTAATTTGTGCAGCTGAAGACTGCCAGTTTCAGGGTGGTGATTGACAGCTCTAAGCAGGAACAGTTTATCCAGAGGTGCAGGGCAGAGAAGACTATGAATCACTTACTTTCATAAAGCACTTAACTGTTTACACAGATCCAGGGAGGGGATTATATGGCAGGCGTCCAGGGAAGGAGGTTGAACAGCTAGAATGATCCCTTATTGCAGATCAAAGAAAGGAGGCCCAGACAATGGACTTGCTTCAAGTGGCTTGTCTGAGGCCACAACTAGGGAGAGGTGGCAAATCAGGGATGATGGTCCAGGCTTTCAAATGCAATGGGATCTAATCTATCTATGAGGGTCTCCAGGACTGGCTGCCATGTGTTCCTATAGGAAAGTGTCCTTGAACACTTCTGAGTGTGACAGGCTCCGTGGAAGAAAATGCCCATGACTTAGTTAGGTCACACATGTCATTCTTGAAGAAAATGTGCTTCAAAATTCCCATTGCTCCTCCTCCTTTGAGATGGAAACATGCTGAGGGAGATGAGGGAAGGTGTGAAGTGAGCATCCCAGGAGAGTCAATCACCGGGCTAAACTAAGGCAGATATGCAAATAGAATTCCAGTATGTTTGATTTCCATGTGAGATGCCCGGCTGCATTTTTCCATCACTCCTTATGGGCCTCTAAGGAGCTGTGAAAAGCACCTGGTCTCTAAGGACCAATATTCTGAAGTAAGCAGCTGGGAAAAATCCTTCTTTAATATGTCTTGAAATGAACTCATGATTGGACCAGAAATATATCTTCACTCAACATGAGCACGTCAATAAGCCAAAAAGCAGAAGTGCTTCCAAAGCACTTCAAGTGGGTATTTGATTAACATCTCACAGCCCACGGCAGCTCCAAAGCACGTTTGGAAATTCTCTGCGTCCAAGTTGAACAGAAACCCATGTGCCAGGCAAAACACAGGAGTGGGTCTCTGAACTGAAGCCGGAGCTTATGGCTTTACAAGGAGAATTTGCAGCAGGGGGCGGCAACTTCTGAAAAACAGGGAGTGGGTAGCTTTGTGATCCTTATTCTGGCAGGAATAGTGACAGCAGAGCCCTAGGGGGCCTGGTGATGCCCCCACATGTATTCCCTTGGGTACAGTATAGGCCATTGTGGGAAGGGGCCTATGGCGGGGATCAGGGAGACAGCTGGAGGGGATGGGTCTGGGTCTGTGGGCACCTACAAAGTGTCTGTTACTGGTGCAAATGTCAGATTACAAACCTCAGCTCACCAGTACATCTCCAGCATCTTGTGTTGAATTTGGTGGCCCCCTATCTTCTTTCTTTTTTGTCTTCCTGCCACCTGTTTGTGGAAGACACTATTGGCTGTCAATTCATCAGCTACACCTTCCATTTTCTTTTGCTTACAGGACCACAGTGTACTCACCCTTTTCTGAGAGGCTCCCAGTAAGGGAGGCTAGGCCCTTCCCCACACTAGGGACAGAAACCTTAGTGGTGTCAGGGAATCATAGTGATCTCCCTCCATTACTAATAAACGAGAGAGTAGAATGATTACAATGTGGAGTGAGAGGGTTTGGAGACCAGTTAGGCCAGAGGGGGTCATATGTGGAAGGCACAATGGCATGGCTTGGAAAGGTAGGTTAGACTCAACTTACAGGATGCTCTGAATGAGAGGTCAAGAAGTTTAGATTTTGTTCAGTGTTTGGGTTTAGAGAGTTTATTTGGGAGGTGATCACAGGGGAAATAGAGGAAGAAGTGGAGGAGGGAGACAGAGAAGGGAGAGAAGCCAATGAAGCGTTTGTTAGTGGGTGATTTACTGCTGTGGGCACCTGGGGCTCAGTCCTGCGGGCCCTCTGAGAAACCGAGGAGCACACTTTACTTGACCTACTGAGGGATGAGGAGACTGAGCCATTCAACCAGTGACTCCTGGTCCACACTGGCTAAGGGCTACTCCAGGGGTGTCTACTTTTCCCAACCTCTGAGTTACACCTTTTGTAGAACAAGCTCCCTTGATGCTAGGGGAAACTTTCAGGAACAAAAGAGGAGAGAGAGTCCTTTAAGGTGAAGAATTGTCCCGGGAACTGTACCCCATAGCTACAGGTAAAATTGGGGGGGTGAGGGAATGTGGGCCCAGGGAATCAATAGCATCCCCTACATTCAGTAATTAGTGGGAAACACATAAAATTTTTTAATTGCTAAAGACGTGATTAGATATTTCTTTGAAAAGACTTTTTTTCTGGAGACAGTGTATATGATAGGTAAAAGTTCACATTTTATTCAAAAGACATTTTTTGAGTCCTGTGCAATATGACAAGAGTATGGTAAAGAATAAATCTGTTGCCCTCAAGAAGCTCACTGTCTGGGAACTGGGGCTATTGCTGTCAGAAGATGAGGAATCTATGCTGCTGGTCAAGTGACATAATAAGTAAGTTCAAGCTGTGGCAGGGGATGGTAGAAAGGAGAAAATGGATGTGAGAGACACTGCAGAGATAAAATGAAGAGCTCTCGGTAGCTAGTTGGATGAAAGAGTTGAGAGTGGGGAAGGGTTCATAGATGACTGAAGTTTTGACAATGGCTATTTGAGAGTATCATGCTGTCAGAACAGAATCTTGCATGTTAGGGAGAAGAGCTATGTTGGAAGACGGTATCAAGGTTGGGAAAATGATCACCATGGATGACATCCATACAGGTCTGATTTCCAGCAGCCATTTATTAACAAACATTTTTTAGGGAGTCTAAGTCTACTGTGTCACAGGAATCATGCTGGTCACTGTATTGAAGTCTAGTTACAAAGACCAATGAAAAATGGCTTATGTCTTCAAGGGGCTTATGGACTCTGTGAAGGAGGTGGACATCCAGGTATGCTAGGAGCTCATGGGTAGACCTCTAGGGGAAGGAAGGAATGCTAAGGAAGGCATGAGATGACATTTGTGTGAAGGTTCTTTTGGGCAGATAACATACTTTTGTTGCAGAAGGCAATCCCTATGTATATAAATAGAACTATAGTTTGGATATATATGTGAAGGACTGACCAAATGTTAAAGGATATTAATGTCTTACGGAAGCTTAAATTAAAGTGTGTAATGGACATGACATCAAATTTAAAATTTCTGTGATGACTAATAAAAAATCTTAACATCAAAACCATCTATTTCTTATCCTTATCTTTTCAGAGTGCCTGGGGATCCTGGGGGTCCCCAAGACCTTTCTGGAGGTCTGTGAGTCAAAACTATTCTGGTAGTAATATTAAGATGGTATCTGCCTTTTCACTTTCATTCTTTCACTGCTGTATGGTGGAGTTTTCCAGAACCT